TTTTTTTTCTTTCCCCCCCCCCCCCCCCAAAAAGGGCGACAGTCTTGAGATATATCCACTGGTGACCAACAAAAAGAAAAAGAAAAAAGAAATCCACAGGTGACAGGCCCCAGGTAATTCGAGACTGAAGGGCGAATCTAGCATGCCGGCCCGATTACCACTAGTTATGCCATTGTTATGATTGGATGAACTTTTTTCCTACTCCGCTGATCGGCGTAACCTTCGCGTAAACGTCTGAATTTAGGACTTTTTTGAGGAACGTTTTCTGTATCACGGTTTTTATTTCTGCCCTTGGTTGTTTCGGCAAGTGCGTCTTAGCCCGAGTCGGCTTAGGTCAAAGGTTTTTTTTTTTTTTTTTTTTTTTCCCTTATCCCTTCAATCCTCCCCGCCCTTCCACATCCCGCTCACCCCTCCCCGCCCTTTTTTTTTGGCGAAAGCCAACTTCATACGGCATTTTGTCACACCGCTTTTTTGCATAAGAATTAGGAAATGAGCGCACTGCAGCAGCCTCCTTTGTCTCAATGGGGAGCGCAATTTTTTTTTGCTTTCAGCTGAGGCTTGGGGCATAGTATAAGACAAAAAATTCAGAAGAGCCTTAAGAGGAGTACTCATTATTAAGTTTCCCCCCCTCTTTAGAGTCTTTACAATGGGTAGTGAACAGGTGGTGAATGGAACACATAATATTTGCCTACCGGTAGTAATGGGACTGAATTCAGTCCCATACTTATTCAGTAGACAAATAATATTAATAACACGTGATATGGGACTGAATGTTGTGATGAATTGAGAGCTGGAGCGGGGTAATGGCCCCAATCCCAATGTCATTCGGGGTTGAATTGTTGTGAGGACTCCGTCAGCTTGTTGCGTAATAAATTACTAAGAAATTAGTAATAAATTATAAATACTAATAATATGGCGCTTGGGCACTGGGCCGGGGTGGGGCCCTCTTTTTTTTCTTTTTTTTTTCTTCATAAAACAGGTTCTTATGGCCCTGGCTGCATTTCCATTCTGGAGAACATCAGTCCGGTTCCTATTCCACCGGCAAGTCCGAACAAAGTATTACATCATGAAACGAACTCAACGCTTCCTTCCGCCTGGCCAATGGTACCCTGACCAGCATTGATTACTCCAGCATCGTGGAGGATTGACTGTCAGCTTGCCTTGCTTCCACCTTTCCTCTCAGGTCCACTGTATGAACCTGTCAGATAAATGATAAAGAGCAAGAAAAGGTAAAAGAAGCTATGGAAGATGACTCTGGGAATTTGCCCTTCAATATTACTCGGCCTGTGATGGATCTTGTCTGTTTGCTGGCTGGTATCTCTGCCTTCTCTCCACCTCCTTCGGAGTTGTGCCAGTCTTTCCACCGTCATCTGTTTGCTGGCTGGGATCTCTGCCTTCTCCACCTTGCTTCGAACGTCGTTTATCTCTGCTACTTTGCCTCCTGCAAGCCACACCTTAGTGAATTTTGCCTTGATTCTTCTCTGTTGCTCCTCGTCATCTGGCATAGGGTGTCTTGTCTTATGCCGCTTACAAAGAATCTCTGCCTCCATCAAGGTCCTTGTCTCTGTCCATACCCTCTCCCTTGGAGTTGAGAGTCCCTCAATGGTTATGCAGCACCTTTCCTTCCAGATGGCCCACAGTGTTACCTTTCTTTTTTTTTTTTCTTTTTTTTTTCTTTTTTTTTTCTTTTTTTTTTCTTTTTTTTTCTTCTTTTTTTAATGTGGCCCGATGGACCACGGATCAGATATTAAACTGATCAGAACAGATACTACACTTGATCTTTCTGATCATTCGGAAGCACGTTTTCTGTCTTGTGGAATTGAGCTGGGATGGCATTCCATATAAGGAGTTGGATGGGGTGTTCAGGGAGGGGAGGCGAGAAGAGGGAATCCCAGAGATCCGAGGCCCTCGCCCAATATTCTGTCGCCTCTCTACAGCGTATCAGGCAGTGTAGCATATCTTCTGGTTCATTTTCTGAGCATACCGCACATAAATCTGAACCGTTGGGGTCATTCTTACTTCTTCTGATATGCAGCGACTGGTTAACCGGTAGATCCACGTATGAGATGAGCCATTGGAGGCTTCTGATTTTGACCGGACGGATTGACTTGAATTTTTTCCATGGTATTTGTGGGATCTGACTAGCGTCCTGACCTATTAACTTCTGCCATCTGTTCTTGATCGTTGGGTCTGGATCCTTTGTTTCGAGAAGTAGGTTGTATCCCAGTTTGACTGTGTATTCCTGGATTGGTACATTCGTTTTGATACTTCTGCTTGTCCGGTGTTCAAGCCCACTCTGCTGGATCAAATTCCAGGTCTTGAATCGCCGTATCTATTCTGAAGATTGTCTTTGGCCATGATCCCAACACTCTTACTTTTCTGAGAGCAAAAGTGTTTATGATTGTTCTTTCCACCTCCTTATTCAGGATAGATGGGAGGCCTTGCGTGGAGGGGGTAGTTGGGAAAGAGGTAAATACAGCCAGGGTATCCGACCCTTGCCATTTGTGGGAAAATTGATAGGCCCTTGAGGGGGTTAAATCCTGCACCCTCACTCCCCATTCACCCGATTTCCAGGTTGAGGCTTCGCTCAACAACACCTTCCTGCCTTCTGGGATGCAGTTAATAATGGATTGTAGCTTCTTGTCTTGTCGGTGACATCCTTTGAGTTGGGAGGCAAGTTCCTATTCTGTCACCCATTCCTTTTTCTACTCGTTCCAGAGATGGATCATATGGATCACTTTCCAAACTACGTGTTTGATCCACGACAGCCATCTCCTTCCTCTAGGGTTAAGGGATAGCTGGTGATCACTTTCGTCTCTCACCCATGGATTACCAAACAGTGGTTGCCTCAATATCTTGTCCTTGGATTTGGGTCTACCCACCTTCTTCAGCATGACTTCCCACCATATCTGTAGCAGTGCAGTCCAATATGTTGTGTGGGGTCTGGCTTCGTTTGGACCACTTCCTCTTCGTTGATTTATGTGCCCTGCACTTGGGCTACATTCCTTGGTCATTACCCAGAACAGACCGAACATGTTCGTTGGTGAGGCTGTCGGTGCTAGGCCCCTTATGCTATCTAAGGCCAGTTTATTCCATGCCGTACCAGGTTTAGTCAGTGATTTGAGTATCCATTTAACTTGTAGGGCTTTGGTTTGGGGTCTATGATACCACGACCTCCTCTGGCTGGTTTCCTTGTGATGTAATGTCAGGCTATCTTTGGTATACAGTTCTTTTTGTTGGGATCTCCCGACCACAAGTACGCTCTTGCTTTGCGGTTAAGTTCCTTGATTGTATGGTCCGGAACTGTCCAGATTGATGCTATATACCACATCATTGAAAAATAGATGTGTTAATGGCTAGAGCTCGGCCCAACAATGATGTGAATGTGTTACCACATCTATCCAGTTTGTTAATTTGTTTGACAAGTATATTTTGGGCCATGTGAGGGGCGAAGCCGTCTTTTGTCAGCAGGATGTTTAGATATTGTGTAGGGGTCTCCGGTCTCTCCCATGCCATGTCTGCCTCGAGGCCTTGAAGCTAGGGAACCTTCTCCTCCAATAGCCACCAGCCGATTGTTTTCTTCCAATTAATCTTCATTTCTGATGTCAGTCTGAACGATTCCATTGCTCTTACTAACGCGCTGAACGAGTCTGAAACTCTTATGAGGACCTTGAGATCGTCTGCAAACATTATTATTGTCGGGAACTGTAAGTGGTGGGTTGTTCCTACACTGACCTCTGGTAGCCTGTGTATGGAGGGATCTTTGCGCAGGAATGTGGCTATTGCTTCCATCACGAAGAGGAAGATTGGGGGGTCTAGCGGGTCCCTTTGGCGAACTGACCGAGAGATTGGATGGCACTCGGAGAGCAAGTCATTGACTTAGATGGATCCTATGGCGACATTATACATAATGCGCACCCATTTTCTCAAATTCGGGCCCACTCCCATCTTTTCCATGCTTGCGTTGAGAAAGGCCCAGTTGACCTGGTCATAGGCCTTTTCAAAGTCGAAAAAAAATAATTGTTGTGTTTATCCTTTTTTATGTGACTTTGTTGGTCGCTTTGTTGAGGGTCAATACGTTGGCCAAGATGTATCTCCCAAGGATGAAGCCTGTTTGCCAGTGTTTGGTCTATATGAAAGCATTTGTATGTCAGATATAGGATTCGAAAGGCAAGAGTTTTGGCTAGGATCTTATAGGGAAGGGTTATAAGCGAGATGGGTCTATAATTCCTGATATCTTATTTCTCCCCTTTTTTTTACAACAAAGTGACCATGCTGCTACTCAGTAAGTTTCCTTGTCCCCCCTTGAGCCAACTGTTGTTGTACAAGTTTAGCTGATCGGTAGGCACCCCTCAAATTCTGCCAACTCTCCTGAACTCCTACCTGAAAAGTCTGGCTCGATAGAAGGGAGTTGTTGAGTTTGTGAAAGCTAGACCCCTTTTTGACATACTGTTCTTGTGGTTTAGACCCGGGCACGATGCGAAGGGCTGGATCTCAGTGCTTTTAGTTGTCCCCATTAGTGTCCTTGAGATAAAAAAGTAAGCAATGAAGGAGAAAGCGGTGTGGTGGGCATCGTTCTTTTTAACCAATGTAAAGACTCTTGTCCGCGGATGCAAAGTACGATATGGTTCGACTAGATTGTAGTACATCATCAGGTAGCAAGTAGCTAAAAGCAAAACCAAATTTAGCGAATAACATGAACAAGCGAAATTCCTCGACAAAGGGGTATTTTCTTCAGCATCAAAGACAAAATCTGGCTATATGCTGGAACCTCCGACCGAGTGACACAAGCAAAATAATGATAATGAATGCATCGGTGCGGACAGTCAGCAGGTAAGTCATGTGTTGATACATGCCCTGCGCCCCTCAACGGCTACACGCCAGACATCCCTGCTTGGGATGATGATATAGTCTTTTGGATGGGCACCGCCTCCGGTGTAAGCTGACCAGCCGAGGACCTGGATATACGATTCGTGGCAAGGTCTATAGTTACCTTCCAATCACCAGTCAAAATGCAGGCCGACAGAGGGGGGTTCAAATGACCGATGTTTGTTATAAATGTCGATCTGTTTGAAGAGTTGTTTGGTAAATAGACATTGATTACTCTGAATTTTTCCTCCTTCCACTTCACATCCATAAGGCACGATCTACCTTCTGTCGTGTTCGCCTCTTTGCCCACTATCGACTCTGTCGTGTATAGGCGGGATGATTGAAGTTTAAGGATGATTGTTCCTTTCGTTCTTGATGTATTCTCGAAGGACCATATTCCGTCCTTCATTCCTCCCAATTTCCTTGATAAGAGTTTTCAAATTTTGTTGTGTTCTGCTGAGCAGGTGAGGTGAGTTTCTTGCAGCAATATGGTATTTTCCAGTTTATTTGTGTGAATAGTAATTCCTTTGATTATGTCATTCACTTTTTCTTCTTTGTTCAACAATATTTCCAAGACCATTAATATTATAGCTCCTAATGGCTATCTCTTGTATCTCCCAGTCCACACGGTCTTTCTTTGCGTTTGCCCCCTTTCTAAAAGTTTCCATCATCGAGGCTACGGGGAAGCGGTAGGGGTACAATCATAGCGGTAGACAGCCTAGGACGGGGCCTGATCGCTTGCATCAATCTTTGTTGACGCATCACCCGGCGGGTCCTGTTGCTTTGTGGTTACCGAATCATCTAGCTTATATTCCCCCCCACTGCCATTGGTTCCCTGTCCGAGGACAAGGGCCGACTCCCTCGTCCTCATCTTGCCACTCCGCATCGCTCTCGGAGCAATCCTTTCTAGAATATCTGTCCAAATTTGTAGTGAACGCCCTTGAGTCCAAATCGCTGTCTCCTTTTACGATCCTAGAAGTCAAGAGGTGTGCCACCGGGACCGCCAACAATTCCACTG